GGAACTGTTCGAAGGTCTCGCCGCAGCGCCACCAACGTTCACCACAGAAACTAAACGAAGAGGGAAATTTTAATTTTGCCTCAATATTATGGCTATTAAACGCTACTACCAAAACATAATTATTAACCCCACGGTCGACTCTAGTAAGTACTATAGTAGTTAATAATAGTACACTTCTTTCGGAAAATTGTAAAATTTACTGTTTTTAGTCATCTTGTCACGCGTGACGATCTACGACGCAAACCAACGACTAATAACGCGATAGATAGGAACTGTTCGAAGGTCTCGCCGCAGCGCCACCAACGTCCACCACAGAAACTAAACGAAGAGGGAAATTTTAATTTTTCCTCAATATTATGACTATTAAACGCTACTACCAAAACATAATTATTAACCCCATGGTCGACTCTAGTAAGTACTATAGTAGTTAATAATAGTACACTTCTTTCGGAAAATTGTAAAATTTACTGTTTTTAGTCATCTTGACACGCGTGACGATCTACGACGCAAACCAACGACTGATAACGCGATAGATAGGAACTGTTCGAAGGTCTCGCCGCAGCGCCACCAACGTTCACCACAGAAACTAAACGAAGAGGGAAATTTTAATTTTGCCTCAATATTATGGCTATTAAACGCTACTACCAAAACATAATTATTAACCCCACGGTCGACTCTAGTAAGTACTATAGTAGTTAATAATAGTACACTTCTTTCGGAAAATTGTAAAATTTACTGTTTTTAGTCATCTTGTCACGCGTGACGATCAACGACGCAAACCAACGACTAATAACGCGATAGATAGGAACTGTTCGAAGGTCTCGCCGCAGCGCCACCAACGTCCACCACAGAAACTAAACGAAGAGGGAAATTTTAATTTTTCCTCAATATTATGACTATTAAACGCTACTACCAAAACATAATTATTAACCCCATGGTCGACTCTAGTAAGTACTATAGTAGTTAATAATAGTACACTTCTTTCGGAAAATTGTAAAATTTACTGTTTTTAGTCATCTTGACACGCGTGACGATCTACGACGCAAACCAACGACTGATAACGCGATAGATAGGAACTGTTCGAAGGTCTCGCCGCAGCGCCACCAACGTTCACCACAGAAACTAAACGAAGAGGGAAATTTTAATTTTGCCTCAATATTATGGCTATTAAACGCTACTACCAAAACATAATTATTAACCCCACGGTCGACTCTAGTAAGTACTATAGTAGTTAATAATAGTACACTTCTTTCGGAAAATTGTAAAATTTACTGTTTTTAGTCATCTTGTCACGCGTGACGATCTACGACGCAAACCAACGACTAATAACGCGATAGATAGGAACTGTTCGAAGGTCTCGCCGCAGCGCCACCAACGTCCACCACAGAAACTAAACGAAGAGGGAAATTTTAATTTTGCCTCAATATTATGACTATTAAACGCTATTACCAAAACATAATTATTAACCCCATGGTCGACTCTAGTAAGTACTATAGTAGTTAATAATAGTACACTTCTTTCGGAAAATTGTAAAATTTACTGTTTTTAGTCATCTTGTCACGCGTGACGATCTACGACGCAAACCAACGACCGATAACGCGATAGATAGGAACTGTTCGAAGGTCTCGCCGCAGCGCCACCAACGTCCACCACAGAAACTAAACGAAGAGGGAAATTTTAATTTTGTCTCAATATTATGGCTATTAAACGCTACTACCAAAACATAATTATTAACCCCACGGTCGACTCTAGTAAGTACTATAGTAGTTAATAATAGTACACTTCTTTCGGAAAATTGTAAAATTTACTGTTTTTAGTCATCTTGACACGCGCGACGATCTACGACGCAAACCAACGACCAATAACGCGATAGATAGGAACTGTTCGAAGGTCTCGCCGCAGCGCCACCAACGTCCACCACAGAAACTAAACGAAGAGGGAAATTTTAATTTTGCCTCAATATTATGACTATTAAACGCTACTACCAAAACATAATTATTAACCCCACGGTCGACTCTAGTAAGTACTATAGTAGTTAATAATAGTACACTTCTTTCGGAAAATTGTAAAATTTACTGTTTTTAGTCATCTTGTCACGCGTGACGATCTACGACGCAAACCAACGACCAATAACGCGATAGATAGGAACTGTTCGAAGGTCTCGCCGCAGCGCCACCAACGTTCACCACAGAAACTAAACGAAGAGGGAAATTTTAATTTTGTCTCATTATTATGACTATTAAACGCTACTACCAAAACATAATTATTAACCTCATGGTCGACTCTAGTAAGTACTATAGTAGTTAATAATAATACACTTCTTTCGGAAAATTGTAAAATTTACTGTTTTTAGTCATCTTGTCACGCGTGACGATCTACGACGCAAACCAACGACCAATAACGCGATAGATAGGAACTGTTCGAAGGTCTCGCCGCAGCGCCACCAACGTCCACCACAGAAACTAAACGAAGAGGGAAATTTTAATTTTGCCTCAATATTATGGCTATTAAACGCTACTACCAAAACATAATTATTAACCCCACGGTCGACTCTAGTAAGTACTATAGTAGTTAATAATAGTACACTTCTTTCGGAAAATTGTAAAATTTACTGTTTTTAGTCATCTTGTCACGCGCGACGATCTACGACGCAAACCAACGACCAATAACGCGATAGATAGGAACTGTTCGAAGGTCTCGCCGCAGCGCCACCAACGTTCACCACAGAAACTAAACGAAGAGGAGGGAAATTTTAATTTTGCATCAATATTATGACTATTAAATTATAATACCATCAAAACACAATTATTAACCCCACGTGACAATTTTGATTTTCTATCAATTTTATCGTTTTGCAAATATTACGAAACTGGAGGTTATGTAACACTAAATTGCACGAAAATAGCCAAAAAAAATTATTATACCGTCGCGACAATTTATTGCCGCGTAAAAATGTGGCTTCATAGTTTTAAAAATTAAACAATGAAATATGACATAATAATGAATGTAATTCTTAGCAAATAAAAATTCAGAAGCATAATCGTTCGATTTTGCACAAAAACACACTCGTAAAATTACTAACGTTGCAAACTGCATAAACGCAACTAATTGGTCGTTTTGACAGCTTAAACATTAGATTCTGTAAAGCTACCACAAAAAAAAATAAGAAAAATCAATGTAATTGATATAGTAAGGGACAAACCTGCATTATATCCTATCACACAACAACATAATTATTTCACTATATCACAGCTTATTCTCACTTGTTGCACAAACAAAGACTCGATTAAAAAAAACACACACACACACACGAAAGATTATTCTAGTCAGGTTATGTTTACAACGAAAGTAGACTCCGCCTTTGTTGCCAAATTTATAATTATCTAGAGTCAATTATCACAGTTCGACATGAGCTGTCCGTGTGATGGACTTCGCAGTAAGATTCTAGATGCCCGATACTTATTTCAACATCCACCTTTAGAGCCTCTTTGTTTATTTCGCAACACATTTTACGTAATTTTCTAAACTAGTCGATCAAGGAATCGCACGAGCCATTTTCGTCGCGCATGCGCGAAAACACCACTCGCGAACGACACAGCCAATTCGGTACCAGCCATGCTAAACGAGGAACAGTAAAATCGCGAGAGTCTGTCTTTCCACTTAAAAAATAAAAAGGGAACGTAACATTGCGCGTCTTTGTTTATCCACTGCAATATTGGACTCTCGTAACTTTACTGCCACTTGAATATAAATCTAGATATTACAACACTGCAAGATAATTTCTTTAAAAATAGTTTAAGTATCAGAAGAATGATATCTGTAAATATTAAGAGTAAGCCAGAATGCTATAAGATTGATATCCATAACCTATAAGCTAGTAATAAGATATACCTCTGTAGTGACTTTCTAGGAACTTTTACTTTAGTTGGGATTTTCTCCAGAGTTGGTAATGGGTTTGTAGCGCCATCTGGAGTAGTCCATGCAAGGCGAGGACGCTAAGGTGACGCTCTGTTTCGCGCGTAAATTGTAAATTGTATTTTGTTAATAAATTGTTATTATTACTAGCCAGCGATCCATACCTCATATCATCTGTATATTTATAGTTACATACTAAGTATAGTTTCACACTGAGAGAGGCCTGATCTGTTATTACTTTAAAAAAAGAAAACTCCTTATGTTTCTAACATTAGTCAATAGACACGGGTTTAATTAGAAACAGTAGAATCAAATACGTTTACCAAAACTTTAACACTAATTTAACGACTTGTATACCTTGGTTTCCTAATAATAGACAAAAGAGCTCTTGCTTGGTAAGGAAGAGTAATGCTGTCGCCACAGACGAGGTTACGTTTACCCAAGAACTTTTCATAACGACAAAGTTTTTAATAACTTGCATATCTCTTAGTAATAAACAAAACAACGTTAATTTAAATTTAACTGAAACGGTGAGAACTAAATCCGGAGCTCTCCGTTTGCTAAGGTAGAATGGCTCTGTCGCCACGAACTTACTCCTCCAATACGCCACCTAGCGTCAGAGACAACAAACTTTGTCGTTCTGCCGCTAGTGGCGGTGCAATCTCTCCTGTCTGTCTCTGTCTATCCAATGCAAAATCGGACTCTCGCAACTTCATTGACACTTTCAGCATGGATAGAGTCAGCTGTGGCGGTATATGTTTAAACAGCAGACTCTTGCAGCACTCAGGATCAAACTTTTCGAAATTATATGCGACACTCGACCGAGAACATCTAGCCTGACAATTATGCATTTATTTAACTAGGTCTAAATACGTACGCAGCGCATGATTATACTTTTTCTGTTCCATTCACGAACGTTATAAAATTAAAATCTATTTGACGTCGAATATGATTGGAACGGATTACTTTTTAAATACTCGTAAAATAAAGAAACGTCGATTAATTATCTATCGAGTTTCCGGCTATGCGGATACAGATGACGCGACCTGCCTGCACCAGTCTTCACGTATCTAATTGGAACCATACAAATCGATCCATTTGTTTACGGAGGTCGTCTGCTATTTCGTCGCGTTCTACCAGTGTTTTGAGATCGACTATTATGCTCTGAATCGTGTTTTTATGTGACTTTAAAACGAAACGAAGCTGAAATGCCGGGGTCTGAAGTTAGTATTCTTCTAGATTCCATGATACACGTATCACGAGCGATGTTATTAAATATTCGTTTGACAGTTCTATCTGTCAGACTGTGTAATCGTAATTCATTAAATCAAACATACAGAATATATGAATTGGACGTTCAGACGTTTCAGTTTCTATGTTCTTTTAATGATGTGTCCTTTCGATGATTGTTTACGTAGGATAGCACGACGGAACTCGGAGAAATAGAAAATGTTAGGGTTGTGGTTCGCGTTCGTCCTTTAAATGGAAAGGAGTTGGATGGGCATTGTAAAAATATTGTACACGTGGATTCTATAAATAGCGAAATAACCGTTGAGAATGCAAATGCAGCGCAGGGAGAGCCACCAAAAGTCTACTCCTTCGACGCTGTCTTCGACACAGATTCAACGCAAGTTGATGTCTATAACGAGACCGCAAGACCTATCGTGGACAAAGTTTTGCAGGGTTACAATGGAACTATATTTGCGTACGGCCAAACCGGCACTGGCAAAACTTACACAATGTCAGGCGCGAAAACATCGCCACAGCTCAGAGGTATTATTCCTAACAGCTTCGCACACGTCTTCGGACATATAGCTAAAGCTCACGACAACCAAAAGTAAGTATACGTTCGGGAAACGTCAGCGAACATCTTCGAACGAATGTTTAAAGCGATTCGTTAACAGATTCCTAGTACGTGCAACTTATTTAGAGATTTATAACGAGGAGGTCAGAGATCTATTAGGTAAAGATCAAAATACGAGACTAGAAGTGAAAGAAAGACCCGACATTGGAGTGTTCGTGAAAGATCTAAGTGGTTACGTCGTAAACAATGCTGACGATTTAGATCGAATAATGTCTCTCGGTAACAAGAACCGTAAGTATACAAAACTTATCTAATAAAGTAATAGTAACGTAATAATAACAGAATGTGTTTCTGCGTAGGTGTCGTTGGGGCTACGGCAATGAACGTATCGAGTTCAAGATCCCATGCGATATTCACAATCACCGTTGAATCTAGCCAACTTGGAGAAGACGGCGAACAGCATGTTAAAATGGGCAAACTTCATTTGGTCGATTTAGCCGTATGTAATTCTCTCAACTAACGTATCATATTTCTTCCAAACTATACGTATTAAATTTTTGTTTTATGTTAGGGTTCAGAACGACAAAGCAAAACTAAAGCTTCCGGAGTTCGCTTAAGGGAAGCGACAAAGATTAATTTATCACTTTCAACGTTAGGTAATGTAATATCATCATTGGTCGATGGTCAAAGTTCACACGTGCCTTACAGAAATTCCAAACTGACAAGATTGCTTCAAGACTCGTTGGGTGGCAACTCGAAAACGTTAATGGTAATATTTCGTAATTTCTATTAAAATAAATAATTATTCTAATCGATTGCAATTGGATTTAGTGCGCGAATATAAGTCCCGCGGATATAAACTACGACGAGACTATAAGCACGCTTCGTTACGCGAACCGTGCTAAAAACATTAAAAACCGGGCGAGGATCAACGAGGATCCGAAGGATGCTTTGCTCCGTCAGTTTCAAGTGGAGATTGAACAGTTACGCAAACAGTTGGAAGAAAACGGCGCTGAGATCTCAGAGTCTGAGGACGACACTGAAGACTCCGAAGACACTGGAGAAACCAAGCACGAGAAGAAAGCAAGACGCAGAAGAAGTCAAATATTAACGATGGAAGAGCTAGAGGACAGAGATGCAGATTCCACGGAGAAGATCGACAAAGCTGAGAGGGAAGACAAAAGCCCGGATGACAAAGACGTTATAGAACTGAAGAGGACTCAGTAAGTTTGTTAAAATTGAATTGAAGTAAATGGTACGGTAAAATATTAATTTTTACAGGAGCGAGAAGGAAGCATTGCGAGAAAAAATGCAAAATTTACAGAACAAGATTCTAGTGGGGGGCGAGAATTTATTGGAGAAGGCTGAAGCTCAAGAGCAGCTATTGGCCGCTGCAGCGATCGAGCTGGAGCAACGCAAAAGCAGAGAGGAGCAATTGAAAAAGGCGATCGAGGCGAAGGAAGCTGAACGCATCGATATAGAAGAGAAATACTCCTCTTTGCAAGAAGAGGCAGCAGGGAAGACGAAAAAATTGGCACGAGTGCATACGATGCTGATGTCCGTTAGGGCGGAATTGTCAGACTTGCAACAAGAGCATCAGAGAGAAATGGAAGGGCTTTTGGAAGGAGTCAGAGGCATTGGAAGAGAATTACAGCTCCAAGAGCTGATAGTAAACAGTTACATACCTGTACAGTATCAAGTATGTACAAATGTGCCGGTGAATGCATGCAACATGCGCGTGTAATGAAATAATTTTAATTTCTTTGCAGACGATGATCGAAAGATATGTTCATTGGAACGAAGATATTGGTGAATGGCAATTGAAATGTGTAGCGTATACTGGTAACAATATGCGCAAGGCACAAGCAGTACCACCAGTGGGAAGTAACAAAGACGTATGTATCTACGAGTTTCTTTTTTTTTTTTTTTTTTTTTTGGTCCTTTTCTCTTGTGTGACTGCAGTACCTTGGGCTGTGCCCTATAACCTGCACTTAAAAATTTATAGTTAATGTCTGTGTGTAGTTTTGGTGGGGTGGTTTTATTGAGTTAATTTCATGTGTTAGGATCGAGGGAAAAGTTTGAAAAACCTCGATGCATTAGTATGTCGTGCGACAGTGGAGATTGGGTGTTAGATATTTGGGATGAGTTTGGGTGTTTTCATGCGGATCTTTAGTGGGAATTCTGCGCGATTGTAGTTTCCTAGGGAGGATACTAGGGGGTTTGGGCGCTGAGTGTTATTTTCATGGGCTTTAGTGACTAATGTCATGATGTATTCGTGCAGGAGTTCTGTTTTTGCTTCTCTGTGGAGTAGTGCTGTGGAATAGGATCGGGGTTTGTTGAGTATAATCCCGAGGTATTTATTTTGGATTTTTTGTAATGTAGCTACGTGTGTCCTTGCGGCGGTGCACCATACTGGTGCGCCGTAAGTTAGGATGGGGCGGATGCAGGTTTTGTAAAGTCGGATTTTTAGTGGGATAGGAAGCGGGCTGTTTCGTTCTAGGAACGGGTAGAGAATGCGGAGGATCCCTAAGCTTTTGCAGGCTCGGTCTTTGGTGTTATGTTGCCATTTTAAATTGTTGTCAAACCATATTCCTAGATATTTAACTTTGGAGGACCAGTTGATAGGGTGGTTGCTTACTGTTAGTTTATCTGGGTTCTTTAGCCTTTTTGGGGTGAAAATAATTGCTTCGGTTTTGGTTGGATTTAGTGCTAGCTTCCATGTGGTGGTGAATCGGAGGATGTTGTCGAGGTGGTTTTGTGCGTGCTTGGTTGCCAGTTTGATTTGCCACGAGGAGGAGTAGATGGCTGTGTCGTCTGCGTACAGGGCTAGTTTTGTGTTGGTGCTTTTGGGAATGTCGTTGATGTAGATGTTGAATAGGATGGGTCCCAGGACTGATCCCTGGGGTACCCCGGTGTGCAGGAGTCTGGGTGAGGAGATGGAACCATTGCAGGAGACTGTGGTGAGCCTGTCCGTGAGGTAATTTTGGATTATTTTGATTAGGTGGATATGGAGGTTGATGTGGTGCAGTTTGAGGAGGAGGCCATTGTGCCAGACGGCGTCGAAGGCCTTCTGGAGGTCTAGCAGAACTAGGACCACCATCCGGTTCTTGTTCACATCCAGCGCAATGTCCTCCTGTAGCCTTAGGGCTTGCTGGACGGTGGAGTGTTTGGCTCTGAAACCAAATTGTTCTTGAATTAGGATGTTGTTGGAGGAGAGGTGCGCGTTAACTTGGATGAGAATTATTTTTTCCAGGATTTTGCCGAGTAGGCTCAGCAAGCTGATTGGCCTGTAGTTCTATGGGTTTAGTGCGGATTTCTTGGGTTTGGGAAAAGGTATTATGCGAGCTGTTTTCCAGGCAGTGGGGAAATAGGCTAGGTGGTATGACTGCCTGAAGATGTAGTAGAGTTGGAGGGTCATTCTGGGAGGAAGGTGTTTTAGTTGGATGGCTGTTATTTTGTCTGGGCCAGGGGATTTTTTGTTTTTTAAATTCTTAATCAGTCTGAGGATTAGTTGGGGGGGTGATGGCTGTGGTGTTTGATGGGGGGGGGTGTTGGTGTTGTTTAGCTTGTAGATGAACTGCTCAGTTTCCTGATCGATGGAAGAATTGTCGAGTGTGCTGGGTGGGAGGTGGAAAGCTCTGGCAAGTGATTCCGTTTTGTCTGCGTTGGTGTAAGCTATGGTGTTGCCGTCGTTGACTGGTGGAATTGTGGTTTTGGTTTGTTTTAGGGATTTGTATGTCGTCCAGAGTCTGTTGGGATTGTTAGCTATTTGGGAGATTTTGTGCTGGCCATGCTGTGTTCTTTAGTTCTCGGATCTTGGATTGGATTTGGCTGGTGAGAGTGTTTCGGAGATGTCTGTGTAGTGGGTTGGCTGTGTTTTGGAATTTGCGTCTGTATCTGTTGCGTAGTTTTATGAGGTTCACTAGCTCGGTGTCTGGTTTTATAGTTATGTGGTAGGCATGCGTGGTGGTGGTTGCTCTGTTGATGTATCTACGAGAACAAGGCACAGCGTGTTTATATATCCCCACTCTTGCTGCTGTCCGCTGAGTGGCTGACTCTGTCTGTGAGTCAGCTGACTGCACCAGGAGTGGGGATGTTACATACGTTGTGCATGTATTTTACAAGCATAGACTGTAATATTTCTAACATTTTTAATTTGCAGCCTACTCAACCCGACATGTCGAATATATATCTTTCGTATAATACTGGAATAGACAATACATTCGTGCAACCAAAGAAAATAAGAGGACGATCCGGGGTTCCAAGACCAACAACGGCACACAGACGTACACCGCACTAAAATTATATTTAAGTTACGAAATGATAGATATATTTATTTTTCATTAAGTACCTCTTTTTTTTTTTAGCATTTTTATCCGAGATTAATTTATTTTTGTTTATATAATTTGTACGAAGGACTGTGCGTTTCATATAATTACACATTTATCCCAATTTTTAATACGTTCGATCGTATTTTGGATATTATATGAAAGCGAAGAATATATGACAGAGTAGAAAAATATCTTGCCTAAAAGAATCTATTTACGATAACTGGTATCGGAATCATGTTGTATAAGTTGTAATATGAGAGAGATTATAAACTCGACGGAGTTTTAATTTACTAAAATCGGACAATTTTCTTCTAACTTATAAATGCTGTACCGATCGAAGCGAATTGCCATAATAGTAGGATTTTACGTTCCGCGTATTTATATTTCTCTGTGATGTCTGTTAAATATTAGATGTCGATACTTAAATTAATATTGAATATATAGAAATTACATTTTCATATTTAACAGCATGCAATATAAATTATTATTAAATAGAAGTTTGGTATAAAGATTTTAGAGAGGAAAATATGTGCTGTACCTGTGTGATAAGAAATAAAATGTTTTACTCTATACATATACGTTTTAACAATACTACTTTATTCCCTGTTTTAGAAAACAATCAAGGGTTCGTGTGATTTAAAATACAGTGACTCACTTAAAATTGTACACCTAGTGGTTCAGTCGATATTTTTTCAATGAAACATGAAAATTGTACTAAATTATTTAAACTCATATAGAGGCTTTATTTGATACGTAATGACAATATTAAAAAAACTGTAGTAGTAGTCAGTACATTATATAAAATATTAGATTGCGCATGAAACTTAATTTCAGTACCTACACGAATTTTTTTCTCGAAAGTGGATAGGATTTCAGGGGTATGTGTATTCACCAAAAATTATTGTAATTGACCCATGCAACCGTAAATAATTTTTTTAGAAAGATTTGAAAAATTTTTTTTTCGCCTAAAAATTTTCAGCACCCTGTCGATATTCTTTAAAAATTCGTTTTTCATTTTTAATAAATTTGCTTGACACTGTACGAAAATTTTGTCTAATACTTTTTTATAGGTACCTATAAGCACTAGTTCCAAAAAAAGTTTCATTGAAATATATTCACTATTATAGGAGTTATGACCGTTTGAAAATTGAACAATTGTTATGGGGGGTTTTCCACTTTACGGGATTAAGGAACAACTTTTTGAATATTGTTAGAATTTCTATATATTCTTCACCAAAAATACGCGTTATTTGCATTTGGAAACATTAAAATCCCTCTATCCGTTCAGAAGTTATGACGTTTTAAAGTGGCGCTTGAAATTTTGGGGCAACATTTCTAACCTCAAATATATTTTAGGAAAAGAATTTTTTTCTCGAAAGCGCGTAGGATTTCGGGGGTATGTCTATTCACCAAAAATGCTTGTAATTGACCTCTGTAACTAAATATAATTTTTTTAGTATGATTTGAAATTTTGTTAATTTCGCCTAAAAATTTCAATACCTACTCGAATTTTTTTCTCGAAAGTGGATAAGATTTCGGGGGTATGTATAATGACCAAGAATGATTAAAACTGACCCCCGTAACCGAAAATAATTTTTTTAGAACGATTTGAAAGTTCTTTCGCCGAAAAATTTCAGCACCGATTTTTCTTAAAAATCAGTTTTTGATTTTTAGTAACTTTATTCCACGCCCTATAGAAAAGTTATCTAATACTTTTTTATAGGTACCTATAAGCACTAGTTCCAAAAAAAGTTTCATTGAAATATATTCACTATTATAGGAGTTATGACCGTTTGAAAATTGAACAATTGTTATGGGGGGTTTTCCACTTTACGGGATTCAGGAACAACTTTTTGAATATTGCTAGAATTTCTATATATTCTTCACCAAAATACGCGTTATTTGGATTTGGAAACATTAAAATCCCTCAATCCGTTCAGAAGTTATGACGTTTTAAAGTGGCGCTTGAAATTTTGGGGCATCATTTCTAACCTCAAATATAGTTTCGGAAAAGAATTTTTTTCTCGAAAGTGCATAACATTTCGGGGGTATGTCTATTCACCAAAAATGCTTGTAATTGACCTCTGTAACTAAATATAATTTTTTTAGTATGATTTGAAATTTTGTTAATTTCGCCTAAAAATTTCAATACCTACTCGAATTTTTTTCTCGAAAGTGGATAAGATTTCGGGGGTATGTATAATGACCAAGAATGATTAAAACTGACCCCCGTAACCGAAAATAATTTTTTTAGAACGATTTGAAAGTTCTTTCGCCGAAAAATTTCAGCACCGATTTTTCTTAAAAATCAGTTTTTGATTTTTAGTAACTTTATTCCACGCCCTATAGAAAAGTTATCTAATACTTTTTTATAGGTACCTATAAGCACTAGTTCCAAAAAAAGTTTCATTGAAATATATTCACTATTATAGGAGTTATGACCGTTTGAAAATTGAACAATTGTTATGGGGGGTTTTCCACTTTACGGGATTAAGGAACAACTTTTTGAATATTGTTAGAATTTCTATATATTCTTCACCAAAATACGCGTTATTTGGATTTGGAAACATTAAAATCCCTCAATCCGTTCAGAAGTTATGACGTTTTAAAGTGGCGCTTGAAATTTTGGGGCATCATTTCTAACCTCAAATATAGTTTCGGAAAAGAATTTTTTTCTCGAAAGTGCATAACATTTCGGGGGTATGTCTATTCACCAAAAATGCTTGTAATTGACCTCTGTAACTAAATATAATTTTTTTAGTATGATTTGAAATTTTTTTAATTTCGCCTAAAAATTTCAATACCTACTCGAATTTTTTTCTCGAAAGTGGATAAGATTTCGGGGGTATGTATAATGACCAAGAATGATTGAAACTGACCCCCGTAACCGAAAATAATTTTTTTAGAACGATTTGAAAGTTCTTTCGCCGAAAAATTTCAGCACCGATTTTTCTTAAAAATCAGTTTTTGATTTTTAGTAACTTTATTCCACGCCCTATAGAAAAGTTATCTAATACTTTTTTATAGGTACCTATAAGCACTAGTTCCAAAAAAAGTTTCATTGAAATATATTCACTATTATAGGAGTTATGACCGTTTGAAAATTGAACAATTGTTATGGGGGGTTTTCCACTTTACGGGATTAAGGAACAACTTTTTGAATATTGTTAGAATTTCTATATATTCTTCACCAAAATACGCGTTATTTGGATTTGGAAACATTAAAATCCCTCAATCCGTTCAGAAGTTATGACGTTTTAAAGTGGCGCTTGAAATTTTGGGGCATCATTTCTAACCTCAAATATAGTTTCGGAAAAGAATTTTTTTCTCGAAAGTGCATAACATTTCGGGGGTATGTCTATTCACCAAAAATGCTTGTAATTGACCTCTGTAACTAAATATAATTTTTTTAGTATGATTTGAAATTTTTTTAATTTCGCCTAAAAATTTCAATACCTACTCGAATTTTTTTCTCGAAAGTGGATAAGATTTCGGGGGTATGTATAATGACCAAGAATGATTGAAACTGACCCCCGTAACCGAAAATAATTTTTTTAGAACGATTTGAAAGTTCTTTCGCCGAAAAATTTCAGCACCGATTTTTCTTAAAAATCAGTTTTTGATTTTTAGTAACTTTATTCCACGCCCTATAGAAAAGTTATCTAATACTTTTTTATAGGTACCTATAAGCACTAGTTCCAAAAAAAGTTTCATTGAAATATATTCACTATTATAGGAGTTATGACCGTTTGAAAATTGAACAATTGTTATGGGGGGTTTTCCACTTTACGGGATTAAGGAACAACTTTTTGAATATTGTTAGAATTTCTATATATTCTTCACCAAAAATACGCGTTATTTGGATTTGGAAACATTAAAATCCCTCTATCCGTTCAGAAGTTATGACGTTTTAAAGAGGCGCTTGAAATTTTGGGGCAACATTCCTAACCTTACATATATTTTCGGAAAAGAATTTTTTTCTCGAAAGTGGGTAGGATTTCAGGGGTATGTCTATTCACCAAAAATGATTGCAATTGATCCCCGCAACCGAAAATAATTTTTCCAGAACGATTTGAAATTTTTGAATTTAATTGTTAATAACTTTTTAACAAGGCCTCCATCAACAAATTGCTATTCTTGATTTTCGTCTTATGTTGCCCTCTAGAATCCTCCATTAATACCTCTATACGAGTTTCAACAATTTAATACAATTTTCATGTTTTATCGAAAAAAATATCAACTGAATCACCAGGTGTACGATTTTGTCACTGCAAAAGGGGTTAAAGAATACCGAAACCGACCGTTTCGACAATAAATATGTTTTATTACACATACATCTCGTACAAGGGTTACACGATATTAATACATGTTCATTTAACTGTCCAGCAATCAAACACGACGTATTTTTTTTTTTTCTTTTTCTCTCTTTTTCTTTTGTTTAATCTGTATTTGTCTCGCAACAATCAACGTTTTAACGTCGCGTGACCGTATTGTTATCGTCATCGTTGTCACCATTGTCATTTGTGATTAATACAAATTACACGCATCGTGTGAAGTCGTCACAATTGTCATACACGATAAAACAATCATTGGATTAGTCGTCACAAAACTATTGCGCGCTGAGTTCGAATGATATCGACGAAAATGGGAAACAAAAAAAAAAAGGGGGGGGGGCGGAGGGAGTATAACAATAAAAATCTGTCGGGAGAATGGAAAAGGAAAAAATCGAAAAGCCTTGTCGTTCGATCGATTGTTCTTGTTCGAGAGTCGTTCCATCGATTTATCGTTCTCGTCATTTGGTACGTTAAATTTCTTTTCATTTCGAGCGGAATTGTCGCAATTTTTGAAGGATCCTGTGGGGTTTGGAGATGGAAAAACGAATTTTCCTTACGAAAGTGCGTCTGCGCGCCAATTTCCCTTCCTTTTACGGTTACACGTTAATTATCAATTAATAACCTCGTTGCTTACGCCCTAAGAAGTTCGTTTAAGTTAATCTTCAGCTTAATATCTAGTCTCGTAGCCTTACGTAATACTTCTACGAACTAACTTTGGTGGCCAGCACCAAAAACAACAAAAGAGAAACATTCACTAGATTCAATGCCTACGACACAGATATAGTTTCCGCTTCTTTCTCGAGTGGGTCTCGATCGTTTTATTACTTTACGCCCATTGAGCCTTTTTACGCGTCCTATTTTACAAGTTACACCAATCACGTCCGATAAGAAATTTTTTATACGTACAATAGCGTCTGATCGGCGAGGAAGTGGCGGGTTTTGTCTGTTCAATCAACAATGCAGATTTATTTGTTCCACTTTCGTGTCAATTTATATAAAAATAAAAAAAAAAAAAAGTATTCGATCACAGAAACACTGCGTTTGAACGCCGTGAAAATAACCTCGGTCCTTTTAATTTCAACGCAATTTTGTTCGAAATCAACATTCACAGATCAAACTCTTTCTCCGAGATGGCGCTGCGATCTTCGACGCGAACCGCGCCATCAAACGTAAACGTCCGTTTCGAAAACTAGTCGAGCGTGCCGCTGACCGGAAAATGACACGCAGGCCCATTTCACCGAGAAAGAGCGCGTCGTTCGACGATCGATTTACACGTTATACGATCGATCGCATGAATAACTAGAATAAAATCGCGGATCTGAGAGACAACTTTCGTCGACGCACGAATTCGAACGATTCACAGACATTCAAGCGAGAAGAGTACTTTGTATTTTATATCGTTATTATTTATTTATTTTAGTAACACATCGAGCTGCAATGTCCTACCTAATTAATTTTCACTTTGTTCACGGATTACGATCCCCTACATCTACCATCGCTAGAAGCCAAAACGTGCGATGATTACTCGCGCGGAAATGTGTGTTTCGTTTTTTTTCTTCTCTCTCTTTTCTTTCGAAGAATCGTGTCTTTCTTCATCCACGGTGATTAACATTACTCTTTGGTTAAAAATTAAATCGTCGGTGTCCTCGTGTGAAGCGTGTGCGTGTGTGTTGTGTGTGTGTGTGTGAACGTCGCGAGAAGAACATCGCTGCACGATAATTTTAATATGAAGAACCCAAATGAAAGGCCAGCCTTTAGCGCAAGTTCTATATTAAAATTAATCGTCCGTTCGCTCGTTCCACGTTCCGACACGTAGCTCTGCGTCTCTAAAAATCGCGGCGACAACTACTACCGGCTCTCCATCTCCGATTCACCGTTTTACGACCTCCTCTACGCACTAGTCAGCGAGCACGGGTTGAAATCTTACGGTTAGGCATGCTGCTTGGTTCCTCTAACGATCGTTGTCGAGGTACTCATCGGAGAACCAAGGATAAACGTGAAGCGCGATTGCTAATGTTCCTCTAAAGTCTTCTGTTCAGTTGACGAATTATCCCCTCCTCGAGTTCATCATCACGATTCCCATTCATTCTTTGTACTTGTTTATTACAATTTTTGGCCTACTTCGTACTTTCTGGTCCGTGGTTGGGCCCTCCTCGACAGCGTTTCCATCGAGGAAACGCTTTGACCCGCATCGAGCGATCCAATAATTCGACTAACGAGATTCGAGTGCTTCCGCTTGCTCGACGAGGGGTTCAGCTGGCTGCACAGAAGATGGCGGCACCGGCCGCGCAGCTTGTACCATGCAATTGATATGTCAGTAAGGATCCTGTCGCTGCGAATTGAGATTCCCTTGCATCCCTCGAGTCTCGTGTTTAAAATACTCCTGATACAATCAGTCCTCGTGATCTGTCCGTCTCGTACACCAGGTACTTCGTGAAGAGATTCGTCCCCTCCTTCGAGCCTCGGATACACGCAGTGGGTTCAGGGAGGGGGGTGGGTGGATGCGATCGAACGACAAACGGGGCAAAGAAAAGGGGCGATAATGGTAACGACGACGATGCTCCTCTCCATCGCGAAGCGAGGATATCACACTCGACGCTCTCGGTACGCTTCGAGCCAGCCGAAGTGCAGCGATCGAGGACCGTTCCTCGTCCTGAGACCCGCGTCAGCGAGGAGGAAACGATCACAAAAACGTGCGAGAGGCTGTCCTCCTCGTCCTGTGTGTGTGTGTGTCACTTTCGATTGTTTCTCCCCGTTTTCCTTCGTTCCTTCGTTCTTATCGTTCCTCGACGCATCGGAACAAATACCCTTTTGCGTTATCCGGATCCGACGAAACTAGCTGGCAGAGCGACTAGACACGTTCCCCTCGTATCCTTGCCCGCCGCCTTTCATCCCAAGTAGGCGGCTTCTTCCACCGTTCCAGGGAGTGGAGCTTGGCCAAAGGTCGATAGGTCGACACAAAGAGACCCGGCTGGCGACAGTGAACTAGACGTCACTGACGCACGCGCCACCAGGTCTGCTGCACCTTCTCGTGGAGCTTCCTGCAAATACCCGCGAGCCTCCGTCACATTCCAGCCTCCGCGGCGCTCTCATCCATCTCACCGCCCCCTTCTTCGCTGGGCAGGGTCGTCTCGGCCGCTCCGCTCGTGTCCCCTGTCTCTGTCACGTCACCAGTCTCGTCACCCTCTTCCAGTGTCACCTGAAACAACCGAATCGTTTAGAATCTGTAACACACACTTTTTGATACATGGAGGAATTGTAAACGAGATAGGAGGTAGAAAAAGAAAGAAATCCTGCTAGTGGATTAGTCAGTAAGGCCCTGGAAGGCTAATAGTCGATCGCTTGCGAGAGAAACAAGAGCGTAGCCCTCTGGTGGCAAGTACAGGAGGTGACACACTTTTGATACATGGAGGAATTGTAAGCAAGATAGCATGAGATAGAAAAAGAAAGAAATCCTGCTAGTGGATTAGTCAGTAAGGCCCTGGAAAGCTCACAGTCGATCGCTTGCAAGAGAAGCAAGAGCGTAGCCCTCTGGTGGCAAGTACAGGAGGTGACACACTTTTGATACATGGAGGAATTGTAAGCAAGATAGCATGAGATAGAAAAAGAAAGAAATCCTGCTAGTGGATTAGTCAGTAAGGCCCTGGAAAGCTCACAGTCGATCGCTTGCAAGAGAAGCAAGAGCGTAGCCCTCTGGTGGCAAGTACAGGAGGTGACACACTTTTAATACATGGAGGAATTGTAAATGAGATAGGAGGTAGAAAAAGAAAGGAATCCTGCTAGTGGATTAGTCAGTAAGGCCCTGGAAGGCTCATAGTTGATCGCTTGCGAGAGAAGCAAGAGCATGGCCCTCTGGTGGCAAGTACGGGAGGTGACACACTTTTTGATACATAGAGGAATTGTACGTGAGATAGAAAAAGAGAGGAATCCTGCTAGTTGATTAGTCAGTAAGGCCCTGGAAGGCTCATAGCCGATCGCTTGCGAGAGAAGGAAGAGCGTAGCCCTCTGGTGGCAAGTACGGGAGGTGGTAATTCACCTTACCTGGAAGTGTATTCTGTCAGACTGCTGGTCGTGTCCTTGAAGTTGTTGCTGATCGTCGGACGGCGGCGACGGAGGGATCATCGACAAGTAGGAGCTGCGGTTATCCTCGAGAGTGTCCAGAATTTCCTGCGCGTCCGGGTGCACCAGGTCCGCCCATGTCTCCCAGAGAGGATGAACGATGTAATCGATGAAGCCGACCTGCGACTTCTCGATCGTTGCGTTGTGACGATCGCACATGGGGCTGATGTCCATGTTCAGTTCGCGTTCGCGATCACCTTGGAGGAAGAACTCCTCCATCAGCAGACCGACCCACCGGTGGTAAAGCGGCAACGGTTTCGTCGGGTTGGACAGGTCGGCGCAGTGCACCAGGTTCTCCAGAACTTGGATACGGTCCGTGTAGTTGTCCAGGAGGAGAACACCAGACCCGGCCACCTTCTTCGTCTCCACCATGGTCTTCAGGTCCGCCAGCAGAGACATGTGCTTGGACATGTCCGTCGACAGGACCATGTCGATCACCATTTTGCGGAGGGTTCGACGTTGTTTCGTCGTTATGCTGACGTATATGTCGCAGCCCTCGTTCTGGAGGAGCTTGAACGCCACTGCCAGGTGGTGATTTTCCAAAACGGATTCGTCATTGTACATCAGGGCGAGCTCGGAGCCTGATGATTCAAACAGTTTGATAAGCAACACGATTCTTTCGAGTGGAATTAAACCTCCGTTATCCGAATCATTAAAGACACAGTACTGCTCAGTCAAGGACATTCCACTTTATCGACTGTTAATCGATGTTCTACGTTATCGACCACTAGCCAATTAATCAACTTTTTGGGAGTTCTACGTTATCGATCGGTTTTCATTCGAACAAAATGAACATCAAATAATATTATCGGTTAAGTGGTAAAGCGATCTGCGTTTTCAACGCTCGGATAACAGAGTATTCATACGATTTCGAGTTTCGAGGTTCAGTTAAACGAATACCTACTCGAATTGATGAGGAACTGATTGGTAAGTCCAGGATGATCCACGTCGTGAATGGTGGCCGCGAATAGAGCTGCGGTAATTTCCAATGGCGTGAACACGGACTGCAAAGAGAAACGACTCTTGTTAGTGTCAATTAGTAGGAATTTTACAAAGTCACCAAGCTTGACTTCGTTCAAATGCTCAAAATTATTGGCTGACGTTAATTCAAAACGGGTAAGTACCAGGAAATATTAATTAGCTTCGATCAGATAGGAATCGACGGTTGTTTTTGACACGTGATCCACCCGTTGCGAAATTCGCGCGAGCACGGGGGCATCAAAACAGACAACAGTGAATACGATATTAACCTCGAGTGCGGGCGTGTTGAGCAGAGCGTGGGTGGATTGGGTCACGTCGGCTGCGTGGAGGCTATTGTGGAAGGGATTGTCCTTGACGTAATGATCCTCGAGGGTCATCATGAAGGTCACAAAGGTCTTCGGCGGTATGCCCAAGGATTTGAGTAGATCTCGCCTCTGGAAGACTGTGTAGGCGACGCACGTCAATGGCCTGTTGCCGCTCAGCTCGCCTATCCTGAAGATATCGATGCCCCACTTGTCGATGTCTGACAGAAGCTGCAAAGTTTTTTAATTGTTAGAGGGCGCTGGACTTCAAATAAACCCGGGAACACAAACAATTACGTAGTACTATATTTCTTAACAAGGGAAGGACCCCCACTATACGACTTTGATTTTAACAAATTGATTGACTTTAACAAATCTTTCTAATATGATAGTATATATGTTCCTAATGATATATGTAACATATTGGGCATAGATATTCAATAATTTTAAAGATATAAACAATTAAGGTTATGAACCATAACCTATATAACATTAGTATAGAAAGTGGATATCGAAGTAATATTGGCGACGTTAGGTCTGGTTTAAAGCAAATATTAGGCATATTCAAGGATTTTGAAGATATAAACAATTAAGGTTATGAACCATAACCTATAAACCATTAACATAGAAAGTAGATATCGAAGTGACGTTGGCGAGGTTATGTTTGGTTTAGTGAAAATATTACATACTCAATAATTTTAAAGATATAAACAATTAAGGTTATGGATCATAACCTATAAACCATTAGCATAGAAAGTAGATATCGAAGTGACGTTGGCGAGGTTATGTCTGGTTTAGAGCAAATATTTGGTATAGATACTCAATAATTTTAAAGATATAAATAATTAAGGTTACGAACCATAACTTATATAACATTAATACAGAAAGTAGATCTCGAAATGACGTTGACGAGGTTAGGTCTGGTTTAGGGCAAATATTGGGCGTAGATACTCAATAATTTTAAAGATATAAACAATTGAGGTTATGAACCATAACCTATATAACATTAGTATAGAAAGTGGATATCGAAGTAATATTGGCGAGGTTAGGTCTGGTTTAAAGCAAATATTAGGCATATTCAAGGATTTTGAAGATATAAACAATTAAGGTTATGAATCATAACCTATATACCATTAGCATAGAAAGGAGATATCGAAATGATGTTGTCAAGGTTAGAAGAATGCCTGATTTCTTCAGGTTTCACGCATCGTCGTGAAATTAAGGTTAAACAATAATTACGATGATAAGAATTTCGAGAATTTGGGTTATCTGCGACCTACGACCTCGTCCCAAATTACTACCCGAATCGTACGGGTGATGTATGGCGCCAAATGCCAGCGGAAATATTTTACTTCGGTGTCTTAAGGGGCCCTTCTACCTTGTGGGATTAAAAAAATCGATATTTTTTTTTTTGCATTTTCCTTTAGCATGTAGCCTCGAAAATATGTCTACCAAATATTAAATTGAAATTCGGAGAACCAACGAAGTTATAGCCTGTTGAAATGTACCGCGCGCAGGTATAAACAACTGGACGTAAAACTTTAAAGCTGTTTTTCTCGAAACTACATTTTTCGGCACTGCGTGCGTGATAACTAAAAAACTATTCAAGATATCAACATCAAATTTATACAGTATCTTCGGAACTGGTCTCCCTATAGCATGAACTAGGATAATTGCGATATATGCAATACTTTTTCTTTTATTAACAAAAAAGCAACCAAATATATGAAAATATTCAGTATTTTTTTCGTAAAATAGCTGCCATTTTGCCATTTTTTGTTTTTTTTTTGAAAAGATCCTTGTTCATGCTATAACCACACTCATCTATATTAAGAATATCGTTGGTTTTAGGATTTCGAATAACTTGTTCGCAAGATATCGCGTACGCAGTCGGGTGCCGTTCGTAGAAACTGTTGTTTGATGATCAACAAAAACAGCGTAATCAATAGATATTATGCGTTGCAAAAATTCGTAAATATAGCTAAATATATAATGAATGTATCTACAAAATTCGGAATTAATCGCTCTTTAATAACCCGCAAAAAAAAAAATCACAAAGGAACACGTATTTTGCATGCCTACAAGGTAGAATGGCCCCTTAGTTCGATTCCATTATTGTTGAATATTATTCTTAATTTAAATGATTTAATTCGATTCACTAATCATTGACAATTATAAATAGTCTAATCATTATAAGCAGTCTAATCAGCTAATTGGATATACATACAACGAATTAATAATTCAACGGAAATATCAACTGATAAGTTATAGACTGATACGTTGATGACAGTAAATTTCGAATTGATATCTCGTGCATCAATAATGACGTCACTGTCGTTTGTTCAATGTGTTTTTAATTAATAATTAATAACCAAGCCTGGCAATTTTCTCCATTAATAAATATTTCATTGAGACCATAAGAAAAAAATTTATTATTATTTCTGACAAATTTTTCGATTTATTAACTCGAATTACATGATTTTACACTTTTCAAACAATATATCAATCATCAGCCAACCAAGTATTTTAATTTTTCTAACCTACAAATATGTAAGTATGTAAATCAAGGTGCATTACGAAACATGTACACAGGATTTTTTTTCAACGTGTATTTATAGGTTATGTAACGCAAAGTGGATTTTTCCCAGCAACGTTGCCGCCACCAAGACTTCTTTTTTTTCTTCCTATTCTTTTTACTCTCCACGTTTACCGTTGTAATCTACTCGTACAACCGTCAGGAAGCAAATATTTGTCAGTCGTAGCGTCTTTCAAGCGGCTGGAAATTTCCTAGACGAGACCTTCTCCGCGAAATCACCGGAGGCCTCGCGTAAAATAAATCGAAACGAAGTTTCAAATTAATTTGATATCGTTTCGACATCGATGCAAAATCTCTTCCGTTCGCGTCCGGGATTACGCGTGTTCCGATCGAGAATCAATCAGCCAGCATCGTGGAATTAGCAGAGGAGCAAATCTGGGATATTGCGAAGTACCGCGTGATCCGATCCGCAGTTTCCCCACGATTTAAAGCCACGGGAACGGGATAAGGCATTACGAGCAACTGTTTATTTCGAATGATTGAGATCGCGATATAGAAATTTTATCAAACATTTGCTCCCACGAGTGTTTTTCATCAGCCGGTTGTTTTCCTTCCCGATGAATGAACAGTGATCAACTATGCTGTACCGGTCGTGTGAGCGACGCTTGAATTGCCAATCGAGGCCTCTCAGATCGGTAAAAAGCGTCTGTTAATTAATTTCACTTTCACGATTCTAGTTTGCATTATTGGAAACGATTGCACAATTCAAATCAAGTTGGATGGTTTGCTTGGCACACTGGGAGTAAAGCAACAGAAATTTTAAATTTGTCTAAAAATTGTCTTGTGTTGGTGTTTTTACTCTGTAAAGATTCTGTGATTGTACTATCAGAAGATAAACACTAGATTCTAGTAACTAGAGTATTCAGAGCTAAGGTTCACGTGTTCAGCACTTGACATACTAGGAAATCAGTTCTATCATATTATTTTCAGGTATTAATGTGTTTTCTATGAAGACCTAATTACTAACAACGTTTCCATTGATGTTTACCTAGCGAATGTTTATTCAAACTCAACGATTGTACTATTAGAAGCTCAACGATTGTACTACTAGAAGCCAAATAACACTAAGTTTCAATAACCAAACAAAAGTATCCAGAATTGAGGTTGACATGTTCTTTTAATCAAACTCTGACATACTAGGAAATCAGTTCTACTAACATGTTATTTCCAAGCATTAGGGTGTTTTCTATCAAGACCTAATTACTAACAACGTTTCCACTGACGTATTCCTAGTGAATGTTTACTCTATTCGAGCTCAACGATTGTACTATTAGAAGCCAAATAACACTAAGTTTCAGGACCCAAGCAAAAGTCTCCAGAACTGAGGTCCATGTGTTCACCTTTTAATCAAACCGTCATACTAGGAAATCAGTTCTACTATCATGTTATTTCCAAGCATTAATGTGTTTTCTATGAAGACCTAATTACTAACAACGTTTCCATTGATGTTTACCTAGCGAATGTTTATTCAAACTCAACGATTGTACTATTAGAAGCCAAATAACACTAAGTTTCAATAACCAAGCAAAAGTATCCAGAATTGAGGTTCACGTGTTCTTTTAATCAAACTCTGACATACTAGGAAATCAGTTCTACTATCATGTTATTTCCAAGCATTAATGTGTTTTCTATGAAGTCCTAATTACTAACAACGTTTCCACTGACGTATTCCTAGTGAATGTTTACTCTATTCGAGCTCAACGATTGTACTATTAGAAGCCAAATAACACTAAATTCCAAGTAACCAAGCGAAAGTATCCAAAACTGAGGTTCACGTGTCCACCTTTTAATCAAACCCTGTCTAGGAAATCAATTCTACTATGTTATTTCCAAGTATTAATGTGTTCTCTATCAATACCTAATTACTAACAACGTTTTCACTAACGTTTCCCTAGCGAATGTTTATTTGTTGAAGGTTAGGTTTCCACGTAGTAGAGAATGAATTGTTTCAACGAACATTTAATTATAAACACACGAAAGTAAAATAAACAAACCCCAGCGAATGTTTACTCTATTTGTTGAAGGTTAGGTATCCACGTAGTGAAGAATGAATTGTTTCAACAAACATACAAAAAACTTAACAGTTATTATCAAAAAAATAAAGTGATCTTTTCACTACTATTGAATACAATACTTTTTAAGGTTTTACTATAAAAACTGCCTTTGGTTTTCATCGCAAGAAGGCTCACGTGCGTCATTCGCTTAATCTATTCATACAGTGTTGCCAACTTCCGCTTATCATTCGTACCAACCGATTAAAATAATTCTCACCAACACTATTCAAGCTCGACAATCGTACTATCGGAAGTCAAATAATACTAAATCCTAGTAAACAAACAGGAATACTCAGAGCTCAGGTTCACGTGATCACCTTTTCCTCAAACCTTGACATATTAGGAAATCACGTCTATCATGTTATTTCCAGGTATTAATATGTCTTCTATCTAGACCTAATTACTAACGTTTTCACTGTCGTTTTTTTAGTGAAACTTCTATTCAAGCTCGACAGTTAAACCATCATGATTTGAAACGTATTTGACTACGTTTGTTTGACTGTCTTTGGGTCAATTGGAAACGAAAATACTCCTACTATCATATTATTTCTAGGTATCAATGTTTTCTATCAAGATCTGATTACTAACAACATTTTTCTAATGAATGTTTCCATCGATTCAAGCTCAAATGGTTAAACCACGTTGAACCGTGTTTGACTATCTTTCGTGGTAAAATATTAATTTTTACCTTGCCAAGTTCTTCTTCGTGAGCTGTCTCAACGCCATAGAGTGGTACACGCTCCCCTGTGAAGCTGTTTGTGTGCGTGAGTGGTCGTTTGACACCGCTTATGTGAGACATGGCGGCTGGGCCTCTCTCAGCGCGGTCCTTCTTCTTGGCCGCCCGAGCATCTGCGGTGCCTGTTGTTGCACCTCCATCCTGAATTCTCAAAGACGGCAAGTCCAACTCCTCCTGCTTGTCTGCAACGCACACGCAAACAGAAAACTGATCAACAAAAGCTTTCGAGGATCCTTTAATAAAATATGTAAATTTCTGTCGTTGATTTGTCAACTTTCTGAAGCAAAATTTTCGTGTCAGGAGAGACCACCTTCAGTCTGTGGGGTCCTCTGAAAGATATGGATTTATCCTGCATCAATGATCAGTGTCGAAATAAATTTGGGATGGGTGGGGTCTTTTGAGTTTCTTAAGTTAATGCTCGAGACAAAAGCTTCAAAAACCTCGTCGTCGTGCATGAGGAGACGAGTGTGATGGGATGGGGTATGTTAGCTTATTATTAGGCTACGTGCTTTCATGAGCGGGAAGTTTTCGAGCGTGTGATTCCCTAGTTTGGTAACTAGGGGAGTTTGGGTGATGGGGGTTGGTGTCAAACGAGGTAGTTGCTAGTTTCATGATGTACTCTTGATTCAAGAGTCTCGAATGTGCTCGATGTTCCTCGTGGTGTGATAAGAGCAGATTTGAGCACCATAGACGATGCTAGAGCGAATGCAGGTTCTATTCAAGCGAACTTTGACTGAGGTTAGGATATTAGGTTTAAATCGAGGAGCTAATGCAAGGTTGGTCGAGCGTTTGCAAGAGCCCTCCCTCTGGCGGCGAGTATGCGAGGTAATGGACCCCACGAGACTGTTTACGTAAACGAGCGTCCGTTTCCTGGCTCGGTGAGCAGAAAAAAAAGGTCCGCGAGACAAAACGAGCCAGACGGGATGAATGCTCGAGAAATATGCGTGCATATATGGGGTCTCAAGGGCTTTTAATGCGTAAGAGTCGCTCGTTTCATTGTCCCTGATAAATCTGCTCCTGGCTGTGGCCTCGCGATTCTGAGCCATTAATCCTTTCTCCGTTTTGTTTCTTCGCGCTCCTACGGGTCGCGTGACGTATGTTACGAATATCAACGAACCTTATCCGGAACGAAAGTTTTGTTTCTCGATCGTAAGTCAAGCACTCTAGCGTGAATCTTTGAAAAAATAAAATAAATTGTGAACAAACTTTTATTCGCAAATATGTCTAATAAAAGTGCACTTCACGCTAGAATAATTTAATTCTATTATTAGCAATTGAGCAATAAATATTTTTCTCAAACTTACCAAGGAAGGTGTTGCAGATGTATTCTGAAATCTGGTTGCCAGATTTTGAGGACTCCGAGAAGTGGGAGAGTTCCTTGTTGAGCATACGTTTGAACTGCAAACAGAATAAAACGTAACGATTAGTGTTTACCGATTCCGATCACGACGCGGAAACACGTCAAACCGAGAACGAGATGGATACTCGTATCCGATTCGTCGTGGTGCCTTTATCTCGTGAGATTTACGATATTTGCGAAATTTCGATGCAGATAAACAGAGAGATACGGAGATAAATGCAGAAGTTTACGCGTACACAGTTTCGTTATCAGCCCTGTAACACGATCCCTTACGATTACGCAGATATCGATGTAAATGCGCGAACGAGAAAGGAGGAGTAACCTGTTATCGGAAACGATTGTTTCGAAAACTCGATTTAACGCACGCTGTTCAACTGTGCTTGTTCGTTCGATTCTTCTGCGTCGTCGTTGCACTCTAATTGCTTCGTTTCATAACAAATTGTTGAACGTATTGATTTCAAGCATTGTAAGCTTCTATTATCCAGTTTGATTTAAAATTTGGTGTGCATGTAATGAAAGAATTATTTTTTTATTTTATAGAATTAAATTTGGGTCAGTTGGTAGAGCGTTTAATTGAGAATCCTTTGGTAATGGGTTCGAATCCCCGTCAAGTTACTTTTTTTTTAATTATTTTAAAATGCAGAAATATATTTTACTAGCATGCCCCGTCTCGGCTTCGCTCGACCTTGTGCAAAAGCAATTTATGACCAGATGATCGTCCTGACATATATATCCGCGATAATGCAATTCTCTCGCGAGAAAGCGCTCGAGAAGCTTCGCCACCTGGCGGTAACGTCGCAGCACTGCTACGGGCGAGGTATCGCGCGGGCCGAATACGCGCATGCGCGCGCAAGTAGACTGTCGTATACAGGGGTCACGTGGTCTGCCAAACAGTCGTACACATGAAATCTTTGCACATAAATTACATGTTAATAACGCGCTTCTGAGACATGCTACATAGCCTATGTCCGTCCTAGAGTATGCAGAAATATCGTGTCAAAATTTGAGGAAGATCGGTTCAATAGGTCTTGAGTTTTGCGCGAACATAAAAATCGGCTCTCTCTTTATACAATAGTATATATAGGGAAAACACACCATCATAAAAGTGCACGTATAACGCATATTCGTAGAAATTTTTCGATGTTTTTTTTTTTATAAACCATCAGTGAAAGTAGACCTTTCCAACGCATGTACTCGTTTGAAAATCGGTTGAGTGGTTCTCGAGTTATAAAATCACGAACATAGGACAACTTATTTTTATATATATAAGATATACATATTGAAGCAAAAATAAATTTAAATTTAAATATTAAAGCAAAAAATAAATCCTTAAATTTTTGATACAGAAAGAGTAATAAGTACAGTAACGAAATAGTATTATATTTATATCATGATTATTATCAAGTAAATTCTGTATTTAAAATATGTTTGTAAATCATAAGTATAAAATGTATATAAAATATATTTATGAATTTTAAAATAATGAAAGAAAAAAAAAAATGACTTCGCGGGGATTCGAACTCACTACCGCAAGATTCGTAGCTAATCTTCTTACCAACTTACCCAAAAAATATTCCGTAAAATGAAATAGATAATTCTTTTATTTTTATTTTTCATTTTAGAAAAGAATCCCTGATTTTCAGTAATTTTTAAAATTTGAAGGCTGTGAGTCGCTTCTGCTGTTTAAATTATACCAGAGAGGATCATGGGGAGCTTATTAGATCGTCCCGGAGGCGCAGTCGAGCAAATGCTGCGTACAATTAATGGTTAAACGTGCACCTCCGTAGAAACACATCGTTTCTAAGATAATCTTCAAACAGACGTTGGTGCCTCCGCGAACGAAAACAATTGGTCTCGTTAATCAACGTCGTCGTAACCAATGGAATTAAATTAGACCAGAAAGTCGTACTTAGCGAAACTTGGCGCAAATTCCTCTTTAACAATTATTGTCTCATTTATACCAGATTCATATCACCGAAATACTTAATAAATAGCAATATTTAATTAAATCTGTCGACTAAATCGTCGATGACACTGTCGATTTTGTTGAAACTAAAACTCAAAATCAAAAGCAAGAATCCTATAAAAACATATATAAACACAAACTAAAAAAATTTCTTTTTTTTTTTGTTTTTGGACGAGCAATTTTATCGTCGATGACATTGTCGATTTTGTTGAAACTAAAACTCAAAATCAAAAGCAAAAATCCTATAAAAACATACATAAACACAAACTAAAAAAATTTCTTTCTTTTGGTTTTTACGTTTGTTTTTGGATGAGCAATTTTATCGTCGATGATCCAGATACGTGTTCGCATATCACCTTATCGCAATAAATGTCTTCGCGAAGCTTTCTCGCGATTATTTAATCGTGAGAAATTGAAAAAAAATACACGCTTTTGTTTTTGTACGTGCGTTCATTCTTAATATTATGCAACAGTGTACCAGGTCAGGGAAGCGTTTCAATCTTTGTCTTAATCTACGAAATTAATCGTGATATTAACGTGAAAGCTATTGGAACGCGTATTATTTCTTATTTAACACCGTTACCGACCGAGTGTTCTCGCTTTATTGAAAGTTACCGACCGAGTGTTTTCGGTTTATTGAAAGTTACCGACAGAGTATTTTTTGCTTGATTGAAATATATGTTACCGACTGAGTGTTTTAGGTTTATTGAAATATTCGTTACCGACTGAGTGTTCTCGTTTTTATTGAAAGTTACCGACCGAATATTCTCGTTTTATTGAAATATAAGTTACCGACTGAGTATTCTCGTTTTATTGAAATATACGTTACCGACAGGAAACGAGAATTCTCGTTTCACGACAAGCGTGTGTTTTTCTAGTAATTTCTCTGATAACAATATTATTTATGATTTTTAAATTTACTTTACGCATTGTAACATATTTATTAGTGTCTTAAAAGCTTCGTTGATGCGTTAATACCGAGATTTACTCGAAATTACGAAAATAATAAACGCATAGTTCACAGAATAAGCTAATAAACAATTTTAGAATCTGTTCGTTACGAGAGAACGACTTTTGCTTTGTGCGGCTGAGGCATTTATCACGTAATTTGTTTGGAAAGTAAATTTAAAAGCTTTTCTCTCCCTCAGAAACCTTCGTTGCTGAGACCTAAATAAGAAATCTTCACAGAACCAACTTCAACGTGGTCAAAGTCGGCAATACAAACAAAAACGTTTTCTTTTTTTCCAGAAAATTGTTCAACGAAAGCGTCCAACGGTTTCTTTCGTGTTTTACACGTTCGTCGGAAATGAAATTTTCATGAGAACTTTTTCCCCAACGATTTAGCAGCTCATGAAAGATGGAATTCGATTACACGTGGAATAATTATGAGAAAAAGAAAGTAATCAAACAGTTTTATTTTTTCATTAGAAAGTGGAAACGACGATGACTGGCAGGATAGTTATTTAAAAATCGTCTGTTGTCTGAGATGCAGTATTGTATTCAAAATATTCAGCGAAAGGGAAGAACGTCTGGTTGAATAATTTATTCAACCGTTCTATGAATAAAAAAAAATGTCTAGACTGCCAGAAAGGACAAATCGTATCGCCTGTTTTGAATTTGTTAATAACATGTACGCGAGAGAGTCGTCGAAAAAATCGCTAACTAATTGCAATTATATTAAATGATAAGCGGGGCAGATAATTTTTTTTTCGACGCTTCATACGCAACGAAACGTCACAAATCGTGATTACGTGACTCCGTGACACTCTAATCGGCGGCATTCTGAATTTACATCCGAGTAATAACGCTTATCTTTTCGTCCCCAAACGCTCGAGTTTGATATCTTCTTCTTGAAAGATAAATTGGTATTTCGGCGGTGTTGACTGATAGATTATGTACAGTTTGTTGAGAAAGTTTAGAAATTCGCTAAATAAAGACCCCAGAAACAAAATAATTTTATTAATTTTGAATTTTGAATTTTGAATTTTTAGGTGACTTGAATTATTTTATATAAAAATAGTTGTTTATGAAGCCTCCAGAATAAAATAATTACCTTAATTGAATTTTATTGTAATTATGTTTCTCAAGGATATTAATATTTAAATTTCTTTCGGTGAGAAATATTAATTATTTTATGATTTTAATTTTTAACATTAGGTGACTTGAATTATTTTATATAAGAATACTTAGTTGTTTATGAAGCCTCCAGAATAAAATATTACCTCAATTAAATTGAATTATAAATAAGTTTTTAAAGGATATTAATATTTGAATTTCTTTCGGTGAGAAATATTATTCAATATTTACGATTTTAATTTTTAATATTGACTATGTTTAAAAATATACAGTGCCACCAATTTTAATTATTTCTCACTCAAAAAATTTTGAAATGTCTCTGAAATACGTATAAATAAACCTTGAAAATTTGACTGCAAAAAGTGGTATAGTTTATTCACAAAAAATTCCGTAGGAAAGTCTAAAATGTACTAGTATGAAGTGAGTTTTAAAAGTGACTTTGTTTGTCTACGTTTGAAATTATGCAGTGTCACCAATTTTAATTTTTGTTGTCCCAAAAAATTTTGAAATGTCACTGAGATATGTATAAATAAACCCTGTAAATTTGATTGTAAAAGGTGATATAGTTTATTCACAAAAAATTCCCCAAGAAAGTCTAAAATACACTAATATGAAGTGCGTTTTAAAAGTGACTTTTTTTGAGATTATGCAGTGCCACCAATTTTAATTTCTTCTTGCCCAAAAAATTTTAAAATATCACTGATATATGTGTAAATAAATCCTGTAAATTTGATTGCAAAATGTGTTATGGTTTATTCACAAAAAATTCTTCAAGAAAGTCTAAAATGCACTAATATGAAGTGCATTTTAAAAGTGACTCTTTTTGAGATTATGCAGCGCCACCAATTTTAATTTTTTTTCGCTCAAAAAATTTTAAAATATCACTGAGATATATATAAATAATTCCTGTAAAATTGATTGCAAAATGTGTTATAGTATATTCACAAAAAATTCTTCAAGAAAGTCTAAAATGCACTAGTATGAAGTGAGTTTTAA